CTGTCTAGCAAGGTTTCTCTCTCTGTGTAGCCCCAGAATCATGATTCGCTTGCCTCAGCTTCCTGAGTGCTTGCTTGGCAGCCTCTAACATGACCCTGAGAAACTCGATGTGGACTTCCCATCTCCAGCTCCAACTTCCCCCTAAACTCAAGATTCGGATACTCAGTGTTTCCATAGGTGTCTCATTGACATCTCAAGTAACGCGGTCCAAGCTCAGCTCAAATGGGTGGCTCCTCTAATTCTTCCCCATGTCATGCCAGGGCACCACTGCCACGTTCCCTGCCATCGCTTTTCTTCTTCAACCTCAATAAGTCCTTGATCCGACTCCTTAGACATCCCAATGTGACCCTCTCACCACTGCCTGTATTTGTTCTCCGTTGAAGATCCCAAATACAATCAAGTAACATCCCCTGGATACCTCTGCAATGCTTAGCTCAGAAGCATGGGCTGGCATTACTGTGTCTTAAGGCCAGCTGCCAGCTGCCTGTATTCCTAACCAGAGGCTTTAAGGAAGGACACAAATCACATATACTGTTGGCTGAATTTGGTTCCTCATGGTTGCAGAACTGTGGTCACCATTTTCTTGCTGCTTGCCAGCAGGGGCCACCTACACTCTTGCTATGGAGTCCCCTTCACCCTCCTCCTATAGTTCTTAATATGGTAGAAATTACTCTCTCTCCTTCAAGGGATTACTAATGAACCCCTAAAGCCTTTAAAAAAAACCTTTAAAAATAAGGCTTTAGGTCCTTAATTAAGCCTGTGAAAGTCCTTACCGTAGGGCTAGAAACGATGGCTCAGTTGGTACAGACACCTGCCATCAAGCCTGATGACCTGAGTCCATTCCTAGGGATCCACGTGGTGAAAGGAAAAACCAGCTTCTGCAAGCTGTCCTCAGGGCTCCATAATCACACGGTGAACATGGAGATCCCCCACCCACACAAAACAAACAAAATGTACTTTTAAAACATTTTTTAAAAAGTCTCCTTGAAGCAGGTAAGTGAGGGGTAGATTGAAGAACAGGAGAAGACGTGGCTGCGGTGGGGCGGAAATCCTGGGCCCTGTTTCAGAATTCCGTCTGCTCCCCACTCTGCCTGCTCCTTAGGCCATGCACCTGTCCCTCACCTGCACCACTCCCAAGCTCACTGCCTCAACCCAGTGTCTGTCACAAGCCTGTTCTCTGCACAGCAGAAGGGGGTCTTTGGAGCACATGAGGCAGGGCCTTGGAAGGGAGCTCAGTGGGTAGAGTACTTGTCTAGCATACACAAAGCCCTGGTGACTCTTGCCTGTAATTCCAGCACATGGAAGGCAGAGGCAAGAGAATCAAAAATTCAAAGGTGTCTGTGGAAACATAGTTGGGGAGCTGTGTGAAGGGGCTGGGCCAGGGTGAGGGAGGCTGGTCTGGAGCAAGGGTAGGGTTGAGAAGTGTCCAAATTCCAGAAATCTCATTTTAAGGCTGGCAGGAATAGGCCGGCTCCTTCCCTGTCCTAAGCCCCCATGCCTTGTGCCCCCACTCTTCCTCCCTGAGGAGGCCATGTAGGCTGGCAGCCAGGTTAAACTTCCTTTTCCCATATAACGTAAGGTCCAGCAGAAACTAGAATTCTTCCTTATGCAAATGAGGCATCCTCAGCACTCTGGCCCTGGCCAATGATGTACACTCCCCGGAAAGCCCCTACTCACTCAAAAGCTTAAATAACCTTTCTTGGCCCCAATTAAATGAGTTGTCTCACTGAAGTTGTCTCCTAAGAAGTCTGTTCCCTGTGTGCTCATGTCAACTGAAAGTCTGCACTGAACTCACCCACGTCTGCCTAAGCTTTTGGTATGAAATGAGCCTGGATTCCCCCAAGGACAGCACATAGCAAATTCAAAGTCAGTCTAGGCTATATGACCCAGGGTAAATTTATTTCTGCTTTAATTTTGCAGTCACTTCTATTTTTTACAGCTTTCCTATTTATGTCAGTGGCTTTGAGTTCAAAGAGAATATTTATGAACTGATTGAAGAAAAGGTTCATGGATGGAGAAGGTCCAGGTGGCACGTGCTGTTGTTGAAACCAAGATAGGAATTTGACCTCCTCCCTCTGGAGGCCTTCTCTGACTTCAGCTCTACCTCAAGTGCACTTTTATTTTCTGCCTCACTATGGCAATCTCTAAATCATTTTCCTTCAACATGCATGCCACTCCCTTTCCCAGACATTAGCGATCTCTCCCTTCCTTCCACCTTACCATCCCTCCTTGGCTCGTACTGGTGAGCTACGTGTTGCCTTTCCCTCTACACGTGAACATGATGAGCTCTGGGAGGGAGGTGCCTCACGGTGTTGCTTCTCTGTAAAGCCAGAATGCCTCATCCTGGGTCTTTGCCCATTGACCTTTGTCACTTTCCAGTATTCTCCCTACTGTCTCCACTGCACAGTGACAAGTCATCAATGGCTCCCCCTGTGTCTTCGTGGTGGCCCCTGGAGTTAGACAATGGGAACCTGATCAGCTGCCACGCCAGCTAGGGACCTTTGGCAAGTCCCTTTCTTCTCCTAAGCCTGTCCTTCACTTACATGACAGAACAATAGCTGCCCCAGAGAGTAGGAGAATGTCATTATGTCCAGCAAGCTAAGCAAAGAGGAAGCACCCAAGCACATTGTACTTGGCATCATGACTCCACTCCATCATCAAACAGTTGCAAGAGATTCTGGGACCTTGGCCCCTTAGACCTCGGCTTGGACTTTACATAGAATACAGACTGGAGAAGTGTCAATCAAAGGTGATCTGGGCTCTTAAATGGAGGAAGGTGGTAATCTCATCAATTTGGGGTGACAGGTCATTCATGCTACCTGAGACTTTGGGCTCTTAAAGCTGCCTGTCAGTCAGTCAGTGTTCTTTGTGTTTCTTCTGGTCCTACTGTGAGCACCGAGGCCCTGCTAGTTATGATGGGATAAAAAGCTTCTGATTCATGTCTTGGAAAAGAACTTTTATGGATGGGCTGACAGCAAGAGCTCTCCCAGAAGCCCCAGTTCTCAGACAACTCTTGGTTCTTTCACTTTTCTTAACTTTTGTTTTACCATCTCCAAATGAGGGTATTACTGTTTGTCACCTTAGCTGATACTGTTTAGCAGCTGAAATGGGAAGCAGAGTTGAGGCTCTGGCTGCCTGCCCTAAGACAGGAGGGCAAAGGGCAGGTGAGGTGGAGGAACCAAGGTCGGGGAATTTATGGCAGTCCAGGGTTTATGATTTTGATATGGATTTATTAAGCACAATTTAGGGCTGAATGTTCTCCTCCAGTTCCCACCCCCACAGCCATGTTGGCAGGAGTAGAGACAGGGCTTATTGCAACATCATCAAAATATTTCCTGGTGTTCATGTCTGAGGGAAGGTAGGAGTGGCCCCAGGGCCCAAAAAGGGCAGTTAATGTGTGCTCTTGGAGATAGAAAATGAAATGGTACTTTTCCCCAGAAACCTGTGTGGACACAGCATCCCTCAGGCCAGTGTCCTTATTTTACCTCTGGGGCTTGCAGGGATGGACTGATGGGTCTTACGTGACACTACCCACAAAGGTGTGTGATTCATGAACTAGAATCCTTGTGAACCCCTTTAGGAGGGCTACAAGTATCACAGTAGTTGGGAGTCGGAAAGTCCCACCATCCCTGGATGCCCTGGGGTGCTGGATCAATGAGCTTTCCCTAAGAAACAACCCTGACTCATCCAATTGGTCAGTTGTAATGCTGGGATGCCCCCACTGTGGACTGCTTGAAGACAATCACACTGTTATTAGGAAAACAGCTGGAAGCTAAGTCGTCACCTGGCTTTCACACACTGCCTCCAGCACACCCCACATGAATTTGAGGATGCGATCTGCAGTGGCTGGCTAGGGCCGTCTATCTAAGGGGGAAAGGACCAAAGTAACTAGAGACCTGGCTGGAGACACTCACACACACCACTTGATTTTTCTTGCTCTGTGACATCCTGGTGTCCGTGTGTCTGAAAGGTTGAAGTGGCCCAAAAAAGAGTTCCATCTTTGGATGTCTGTCTATTCTTTCAAATCTCTCGCCATCACCCTCTCCCTCATCCCTTCCCACTTTGATCCTTAGAGTCAAGAAGCCAGGGCTGTGGCTGGGCAAATAGATCAGCTAGTAACATGCTTATCTTACAAGCATGAGGACCCAAGTTCAATCCTCAGAAGCCATGTATAGAAACCTGGGTGTGGAATCACATGCTTAAAAAGTTTTATTCATTCAGCATGCATGGATGTTTCCCCTGCAGGCATGCTTGTGCACCAGATTTGTGTCTGGTACCTTCAGAGGCCAGAAGAGGGAGCTGGGTTCCCTGTAAATGGAGCTACAGATGGTTGTGAGCCACCATGTGGGTGCTAGGAATTGAACACTGGTCCTCTGAAAGAGCAGCCAGTGCTCTTTACTGGTGAGCCATCTCCTAGCCCCTGGAAAATGCTTAAAATCCCAGTGATGAAGACAAGCAGGTCCTCAGGGTTCGCTGGCTGCTAGCCTGATGAGTGCATTCAATGCCAGCGAGAGACATTCTGGAGACCTTGTCTCCAGAAACAAGGTGGATAATGTCCTTGAAACAACACAGGAAGTCATTCTCTGCCCTCCCTGGGCATGACCACACAGGGAGGTGAGGGGGGGTAGAGGATGGGATTTCTACCTCTCCCTTTCAAAGAAAATCACCCTTCTGAGCCTCAGTTTCCCACATCTATATGAGAGGAGATTATCCATACAATTTATCATCTTGATGGGAAGATTTTTTTTTCTCCCTAAACAGGATTTCTCTGTGTAATAGCCCTGGCCTTCCTGGACCCACTTTGTAGACCAGGCTGGCTTTGAAAAGAGATCCGCCAGCCTCTGCCTCCTGAGTGCTGGGATTAAAGGCATGTGCCACCACTGCCCAACTGATAGGGGAGAATTTTGTTTTGTTTTTAAATAAAAGGATTCTGTCCAGTATGAATGTCCCAGACAGTCCTTTTTCTAAAACTAAGGGGAAAAAGACACCAGTGCAAAGACTTAGAAAACGTATGTGCCATTTATTTTGTTTGATAAGTTTTTGCTAAAACACAGGAGTAAGAACTGTTTTTGAGGTTTTTTTTCTTTTCTGACCCCTTGGGCAGTAATTGTGGGGACCTGAGGACCACTGTGGGTCCACATGTGAGATAATCACAGGAAGGTGCAGATTGATCTAGCGGAACACAGTCTGCTTACGAATGTTTCGTGTGACGGTCACGATTCATGTTTACCAAGGTAGGTCACAGAGAATTCTAGCAAAGGCAAATGGCGTGGTTGCCACAGGAAATCAAGCACATCCATGTGTAACCCTCCCTTGTCTACTCTCAGGAAAACCTCCTGCATCCTGAAAGATTCTGAGAACTCCTTGTAGAAAAGAGGTTGGCCCTGGGGGAAAACTGTAGCACCCATCCTTGTCCACCACCTACTGGTACCTAGGCCATCACATTGTATGTTAGGAAAACTTGGAAGAAGAAAAACAAAACAAAACAAAACAAAACAAAACAAAACAAAACTCCAACGTAGTGTCCTCAGCTTATGATCAGAAGAGTAAACTTTCCTTTATTTCATGTTTCCCGTGTTGTAATAAAGTTGCTAATGTAGAATGGTTATCTCCTTCAGAAAGGACAGATTGGGGCAGCGGCTGACCCCTGCCCCAGAAGACTGCTGCTACTGAAGGCCAACGTTACCTACTCCTCTCATGAGCATCACTGGGGATGGAGGGACTAAGGGTGGGAAAGACAAGGTCTAGAAGGCGTCTGGCCGTCCTTCCTCGTACAGAGTAGTCTGAGCAATCTGGCTAGGGTCTCTCTGGCACTGGAGTGAGGGTGGCCAAGAAGGCTTGAGAGCTCTGAGCATAGGAAGGTCTTCCCTGAGCCTAAGGATAAGGCTTGAGGGGTTAACCTGTCCCGACAGTCCTGGACTGTGGGTGTTCTTTTTCTTTAAGCAGATGGCCCCACCCAGTGCTCCTCCAAACCTCTTCTTCAGAGGACTTTAAGGCTGGGATTTCTGGACATTGCGGTGCTAGCTCTCTCCACTCAGAAGGATCAGCCTTGATGTAACATAGGTGTTCAGTCTCCCACGTAGCACACCTTCAGCCTAGGAGGCATTCCTTTTATTCCCGCTGGTCAGTGGCAATTTATAGAGGCTCTGCAGAGCCATCAAGGGTCAGCCAGGAGCTAAGACCTGACCACTGGAGATTGGTGGTTCCAGAATGTACCTTGACTCTAGTTCCTCAAGCAAGCATGAAACCCAGGCTTTCTTGCCCCTCTCCTGCCCCTCACCCAAACTCTCTCATCCCCAATTAGCAGATTAGACTGGTCCCTCTTCCAGGAGCCACACCCTTGCTGCTCCTCACCCACACTTGGGTAGAGCAGAGGAAAAAAAGGACAGAGGTCATGAGTCCACTTTACTATTATCAGTAAACAGGATTCTTGACTTCCAGTGGACTTTAGAACAGCCTCTAACCAGCCAGGTCTGGAGAGAGCAAGCCTCTGGGCTTGACACCAATAAAGGTTGAGGAAATTTCTGAATTCCATCATGGGGAAGACAGAGACTTCCTATGAGACAGTTAAGATCTCCACTTTAATCTTCTGTGACAATGTCTGGGTGCTGGGGAAGATTATAGGAGAGGGTGGATGTCAAATGCCTGGTGACATCATCTGGGAGTATGGAAGAGCTTGACAGGTCCTGGAGAGAACTCTGATCCATCCCTCTGCCTCATCCACAGGCTCTCATAAGGCCTCCTTGCTCTTTCCCAGCAGTCTTCCCTCCCTCTTCAAGATGCTGTATTCATCTTCTGACAGCCCCACACTGCAGCTACTCCTGTCTTCAGTCTAGCATGGTCCCCATTGAATCCATGGTCCCCAGTGTGTGCCCTGTCTCAACTCCATGGAAACTGACTTCTTCATTACCTCTTTTCCATACTATTTTACCTACCTCCATGCCTTTATCCAGGTCTGTGTCATCTACTCTGCTAGCCAGAAGCCTGCTTTCCCTGTCAAGGGACAGATGCAAAGCTTGCCTCTTTCTAGATACTTTCCTGATGACCGCCACCCCCTCTCCACATTCTGTTGCAATTATCACCCTTGGATGGTTCTTTGCTATAGAAAGCCATAGAACTTATTACTCCAAAGTTATGGCCTAGTGCTATAGGGTAGAGTCATGGTGATGTTGGCAGAGGAGAGATGTTGGCTCCTACCCTCTGCCTCACCCAGGTCAGTGCTTACAAAAGGTTCTCAGAATGAATAGGGAAATGGCTGCCATGTCTTCCTCGGCCTCCAGAGAGGTGGCTTTGGAGAAGTCAGAATGGCTGGGGAAGGTAACCATAGAGGGTAGGAAGAGGGTCACCTGAGGTTGGCTCAGCAGAAGAGAGAGGAGTACCACACCGCAAGCTGACCCAGCCTCAGAAGCTTTGTATCCAGACTCCCTGACCAGCACCAGGAAGGAAGCATCCCCAGCTGGGAGAGAAGGGAGTTGTGTTTAAACAAGGTCCTGCAGCATCTGCAGACGGTCATCCTTTGAGGGGGAAGAAGTTGCAGGAAGATCGGAGGAAGATGAAGACAGTGGCTTCAGCTCGAGGAGAGCAGTCCTGGCCGTGGAAGACTTCCCAGCCGGGGTCTCCTCAAAGCAAAGCTCTGCCCTCCTGGACGTGGGGTCAGGGGTGGCAATACATGGGACTGACCCTCAGCCCATGCTTTTGAGCCTTGCACTCTTTCTGTGGCTGCTCTGGGACTGGCCCCCTTGTCACATCTTTCTTGCTGTGACTAAGTTACACCCAGGTGTTCTCTGAGGGTGTGAGTCAGCCAAGCCCCCGACCCCCGTGGCTTGCTAGATGGCTTCTTGCTTGGTGATCGTTGGCTGGGGAATGGCAGAGGGAGGCTTGACGATGGTGGTGATGGCTCCTGGCAGGAGCTTGTAGGGTTCAGATCCAGAGCCACTTGGTGGTGATGGCTGTGGAGTCTCAGGGGTGGCTGAAAGGAGAAAGAAATAAGTTACTCAAAATTCCAGCCTTTGTGGGAATAAGCGAAGAGCCCTGGGAAGCTGTTCCATCTGCTGAGACAATTCCATAAAATACGATGAATCTAATCCCCAAGGCTGTTATGGCTCAAACTTCTGGGAGTCCCAGGCCCTAAAATCTACATTTCATGAGGTCCTACTGCCCAGCTGTTCACCATTTGACATGGAAACTCAGGCTGCTTTTCCCAGGACAGGGACCAGGTGTGACTGTTCCCATAAGCAATAAGATATGTGGCAAAATATTCTGGCTTGGAAGAAAGAGCAGCAACTGGGGTCCAGGACCAAATATGGCATTTCTTCAATATTTAGGAGAAGAATAATGTAAATGAAAAGGCTTCCCATCACAGGTTGGGTGAGTAACTTTCACCCAATTGACTACTTTCATTCAGTAGACAAGTTCCCAAAGCCAAACTCAATGAAATCCCTTTCATCCCCGTGGCTACCTCATCTCATTTGATGATCTTGTTCTTTGAAGAGTTTGGGCAGTTCTACTCAGTTGCCAGTCTCATTCAACTGCCCAAAGATGGCCTTATTTGTCTGGCCAGCCCTATTTCAATGAACACTTTCACCTAATTGGTGATTTCATCTAATGTAATTCTCAGCCAACAAACATTCTCAATGCTCCCCACACCTACTGGATTGCCTCATTCAGTAGACATTGTCAATCACCTCACTGACTACACAGCCACACTGAATAAACAGCTTTAATCATCAACAACCCCACCCCTCCCTCATTCCCTATTCTGAAACACAGAGAACTATGATCCTGGTTCCACCTTCTAGACACCATCTTCTCCTGCATCCTTTCTTATACCCCCTCCTTACCCCCTTGTAGGGTAGAGCCCAGGCTGCCCACCTGCCTGCCCCCTGGGTCGGGGCCACTCACACATCTGTCCATTGCTGAGGTGAGAGGGCATCGTGTTGGCAACTATGACATTGGTACCCATGTGCTCCTGCATCAGGTGAGGGTGCAGGGGGTGGTGGGCATGAGGTGCATCACTGGCAGACCCTGTAGACAAAAAGGAGGCCATCAGTCAGGACTGGAAGTTTTGGTAAGAATTCCGGCCTTGAGGCATCATTTACCCCACTGTGGCAGTCAGCCCCCTCTCATCAGGACCAATAGTGCCTCTTGGGGGCTTATTCCTGGGTTAGTAATGCAGAAATCACCAGGTGTGTCCGTGGGCTTCATGACTTGAAAGAAACCAGGCCCTTTAAGTTTAGGTACAATGAGTAGTCTCTTGGTTGTGTAGTGAGATGATCACTAGTTGTTGAGAACCAGTTACGTATGTTTTACTGGCTTAAAGCACTTTCTCTTCTACATAGTTTTATCCTCTTGTTAGTTCTAGAGAACAGACACCATTGCCATCCGTTCTGCAGATGAGATAGAAGTATCCAGGGAGATTATCTTGCCCAGGTGTGTTGGGAAGCAGATCCCAACTCCTCATCCTGACCCACAACACAGGGTCACTATGAGAATGAGGTGGGTTCCTGCCTGACAGTGTTTGTCACTGTGGGAGACATTTGACAGTTTCTGGAGATATTTTTATTGTGATTCCTGGAGAAATGGGCAGAGGCCAGACATGCAGCTAAGCAACATGCAGAACATCCGCCCTCAAAGAGGAATCAATCACACCTCCCCAAACACCAACAGTGCTGAGGCAGACAGCCTTGGGGTTGCTGAGCCATCTCAATGCTTCCCAAGCCTCCAGCTCCAGGTTCTCCTACTGTCACCCACCCCAGAAAGAGTGCCTCAGCATTATTGAGGGGCTAGAACTTACTCCCGCTTTTCTCTAAGGGGTGCTGTCTTTAGTTTTACTTTAGTTCAAGATTAGACCAAGATGCCATGGTCTGTGATTAAAGCCTTGTAGCCAAGCTCACCTCTGACCCAGGTTCCCTTCATGGGGAATAGAGGGCTTGTCTCTTGTGTCTCAACTCCATCACTTTCCCATTTGCCCATTGCTTACTCTGTGATAGCCTCCCAACCTGGTTTCCATCCTTCGAACCCTCTGATACTACTCTCAACAAAAGGACTGAGACCCTGCATGCTGGCACCCTCCTCCCTCTCTCCCTGGTCCTTCCCTGACTTCTGACTTTCATGTCTTCTCACACCCTTTTCCTTCCTTTTCTTCCTTTCCTTTTGCCTTCCCCTCCCCCCACCTCATTTAACGCTATACACCCTGTTCTCCTGAAAACATAGCTTGCCTTGGATTCTATGACTCTCCCATTTTTTTTTCTCCTATGCCCCTGGCTTATGACTTGGTTAACTAGTTAATTTCCACCTGCATCTCCTCCAACAATCCCATTTCACAATGTACCTTCCTTTACCACACAGAGCCTGGAAAAAAATGACTTCTGCTTGGAATGTTTTCTAAGATTTTAAAAATCTAGTCATTTTACCCATTAGTCTTAGATGCCACATCAGAAAGGCATCCCTCAGTTGCCTCATCTAAAGGCCCTCTCATGACCCGTCTATTTTTATTTATTTATTTTTGTTATTCACTTGGTTATTGTCTGTTCCCATGACATCCTTCTCTACTCATAGCAGAGACTGACCGACTTGTGCTAGATCCTCAGTGTCTGAACAAATGGACTCTTATCTCCAGGTTTTTTTTTTCCCCTTGATGAGAAACCAAGGTCCAACAGACAAGGAAGATTGTCCAAGGCTCCCACCAAGGAAGCGGTGGAGTCTAGAGGCCAGCTAGTTCAGGTCCGTGTGAAGCCTGTGTCCCAAAGAGACACGGCTCTACAGGTCTACCGAGAGCTCCCCCGGCGTCACACACCTCCAAGGAGCATCTCCTGCAGTAGGTTGTCAATCTTGGCCATGCCAAAGAGCTTGATGAACTGGATCTGCTCGATCATCTGCCAGGTGATGCTCTGCAGCGTGGGCAGCAGCAGCAGCAGCTCGCCGAACCTGCCTCGGGAGTCGTACTGCCGGTCGTTGATGTAGTCCTCCAGGCTGACCTGCACCTGTGACCTCAGCCGCTTGATCTTGGCCGGGTCGCTCAGCCCCTTGGCATCTGCAATGGGAGAGGTGGTCAGGGAGGCCCAAACGCCCCCTGACTCGTAGGCCCAAACTGCACGGCTTACTGACCTTAGAACATGGGGAGTCCTAACTAGTGCTGGGACAAGAGTTTAGGGTTCCTGACAGCCACCTTATTCCAGAACAAATAGTGGCCCCCGTCGAACCAGGCAGAAAAAGATACAAAGCCAGCACAGCATATTAATAATCTCATTTCTCTTTTACATTTTTTTATGCTGTGCTAGGGATCAAACCCAGTGTCTTGCACACAGTAGGTGAGATCTGTACTATCAAAAGCCCCAATCTCTCCCTGTCTTGGGCAAGGGGAGATAAGGAAGGCTTGGCCAGCTCATGTGGCTGGTTGCTGGAAGAACCATGGTGTGAACTTGTGGCTGCTGGCCCACAGATAAGGTTCCACCATCTAAAACTTGCACTGGTCTCATGAAGATATTCTCTCCTTCCTTGCCTTCTGTCATCTGTCATTCAGCTGAGGCTTCAGCTCCTCCAACAGAAAGAAACCCCACTAACACTTCCCACTTTTTTTTCTTCAGTCAACCAACTTTATGAAGTGTTTGTTCTGGAACAGCCTAGACTAGGTCCCCTGCCCTCAACTAAGTTGCTGACTCTGCCTTAGGGCCAGTGACAGTGACTAAACAGTGACCACCTACTCAGCCCCAAGCTTTGCACAGCAGGACAAGAACTAGACTCTTGCCTCTGGGAAATGGGAAGTTGCATACGGAAAGCAAGACCATGAATTGGAAAGACGTGTATGATAGCCTGAAGTTCAAATCCGCACTCTGAAAGTTCCTAGTTGTGTGACCTTGCTTGAGCCAATCAGTGTCTCTATACCTCCATCTTCTCCTTATTTGAAAATGAGGTGATAAAAAAAATGTCTGGGTGTGGTGGCACAAGCCTGTAATCCCAGCACTTAGGAGGGAGAGTCAGGCAAGTCTCTGTGAGTTTGAGGCCAGCCTGGTCTACAGAGTGAGTCCAGAACAGCCAAAGCTACATAGAAAAAAAAACAAAAATCTGTCTTGAAAGACAAAGAAAGAAAGGAAAAAGAAAATGGGGTGATGATGGCTCCTATCTCACAGGTAACATGTTGTAAGATAATCTGCATGAAATGTTTAAAACTGTGCACCTGGGAGCACTCAGTAATTAGCAGTCATTTCCCTCTTACTGCTAGAGGTCATCTCTGCGATCAGGGGCCAGCACCAAGGACAGCGCCTAGCGCCCAAGGAGTCCACTTCGCGCAGGTAACTCTGAGAAACAAAAGCAGGCTTCATGCAAAGATTTGGCTGCTGTGCACACTCAGGGGCAAGAGTCAGCACAGTCAACAGAGCACAGGGAGAGCCAGAAGGGAGGGGGTACAGCGCCCTCATTCCAACACCTGAAGGGTAGAAGGCGCCGCCCATAGAGGACAGGACAGGAAGTAAAGTGTACCACTGAAAGCTTTAATCCACAGAGACAGACAGCAGCAATCATGATGCCCTGGGAGGATGGGAGAAAGAATGCTTGGGATGGTGGACAAGAAGGAAGACGGAAAAAGTAAAACCCAGGCTTTTGTAGCTGGTGCCCTGACAATTCCTTCCTCCCTGGAAGGTCTACCTCTGGTCTGCCTCTTCTACTCAATGGAGCTGATGAAAATCACTTCAGTTGTCATGACAATGCTGTGAGTCCAACAGTAGTGCCACAGCAGGACTGGGGATGTGAAGGTCAGGTTGGGAGATGTGGATGGTACCTGGGTCGAAGAAGATGATGGCTTTGAGGCAGGCATATTCATTGTCGTCAATCTGTAGCTCTTGGAAGGGTAGGACCAGCTCGTCAAGGATGCGAATGGACACTCGGCTCATCTCCGCTAGCTCCGGGCAGTGCCGAGGGACTATGTAGTCATTGCCTGGATGGGTGGAGGAGAGAGGAATGGGTTGTCACCTTAGTCGACCCCTATCTCCCCGGCTGTAGTTTGCAGTTAAGAGTGTGCCTGGTACTCCTGAGGGGAACTACTGGGTCACCATGCTCATTTCACAGACAGGAAATCTGAGGCCAGCATGAAGAAGGTGATTGCCTGAAGTCCTGGGTGAGCTAGGAACTTGGCTTTTTCAGGGCCTTTCATACCCCCAAATTCCTTTTTTTTAAGTGTGTGGATTTTATATTTTATTTTAAATAAATAAATAAATAAATAAATAAATAAATAAATAAATAAATAAAATATTTATATTTTATTTTTTCCACAGAAAAGGCTACATGATTTCCTCACATTTAATGTGTTGGAGGATAGATGTGTGTGTGTAGGTATACCTATGTCTACACATACACATTATATATACACATACACATGTATATATATATGGATATCTCTGTTTCCCAATTAGTTTTTTAAGTTAATTTATTTATTTATCCACTTTACATCCTTATCACAGCTCCCTCCCTCCTCCTCTCAAGAACTCTACAAGAAGACCAATAGAGTCAACTAATCGAGGACCAGGGGGCCTCTCAGAGACTGAAATACCAACCAGAGACATGTAAAGACTGGACCTAGGCCCCTACACATATGTAGCTGACGGGCAGCTGAGTCTTCATGAGGGTCCCCTAGCAATTAAGCAGGAGCTGTCTCTGACATGGACTCCATTTCCTGCTTTTGGATCGCTTTCCCCTAGCTGGGTTGCCTCGCTGGACTTCGGTGAAAGAGGATTAGTTTAGTCCCATTCAACTTGATGTGCATGGGTGGGTGGGTAGCAGGCAGGTGGGGTGGGGCTCCTTAAACCCCTTTTACCTGAATGACTCAAGATAAAGGAAAGTAAGTCAGGGCCCATTCAGGAGACACTAAGGCATCAAGGTCAAGGGTCAGGTTCGGGAACTAGGCCATCCCATCTCTGAATGGCTCTGTCACTTATGGCTGGGTACTTTTAGGTAACATAACTGACTTGTTCATCCCGTAGTTTCCTCAGCTGTAAAAATGGTGATATCTAACAAAGATCTGGGGGCGTTATTTTAAAGAGGACATAACATAGGGCTGGCAGTTTGCATAGCCCTTGACATATAGGGTATGTTACACAAGCACTTATTATTTAAGTATGTCCTGAGGGCCCAGGTGACGTGGCAGGTAGTGGGGGGGAGGGCATATTATCATATCTGGCCACTTTTTGTTTCAACTCTGGAAAAAACTCTGAAGTGTACTTAGAATTCTGGGAACAACGGACTGCTCTCTAGCCTGAAGGCTAGGAGAACCCCTCCTTTGCACCTGTGCCTTTTCCATCTGAGCTGGGAGCCACTGGAGAGCTGGGGCCTGGAATCTTGCACTTTGCTTAAGTCTAAGAGCAGGGCTGGGTTACGTGTGTTTTAGTTTAGCTGTGGTGGTGTGGGTGGCCATGTGTTCTACCACTGAGCTACACCTCCGGGCTCCCCTTAAAGGTTTTCTTAAATTGCATTTCATCTACTTATTTTGGGGGAGTAGCCTGTGTGTCCCGGTGTACACACAGAGATTCCTGCACAATCTCGGAGCTGGTTTTTTCTTCCCATCACATGGGTCGCTTGGTTCAAACTCAGGTTGTAAGTCTTGGTGACAGGCCTCTACCACCCGAGCCATCTCCCCAGCCCAAGGCATTGCTAGTACACTCTCAACTAATAGTCCCTAGATTAAAAAAAAAAAATTTAGTTGAAGATGTGATCATGTTATGTTTCTCAGGCTGACCTTCAACTCTGTCTACTAGGGCATGTCTTGACCCTGTAAACCAACTGCCTAGCTTCCTAGCTAGCTGGGATTACAAGTTACAACAGTATATCCAGTCTGGGCTGTTTTTGCTCTGCCTGCCTGGTCCCTGTGTGTTACTATGGAGATACTGTTCCCTCACGGGTGTCCCAAGTGGGGTTCCAGCCCTCAACTCTGTCTGGGGTGGGCAGCATCCTCACCTAGGAGCAGCACGTCCTTGAACACCATGGACCTCTTAGTGGCTCCGAGCAGCAGGTGCTCACCGGCGTGGGCTCTGAGCAGGGCTACCTGGAAGAAAGAAGGGTGAAGCCTAGCATCCGCACCCCAAGGAGGCTTCCCACAGTCAAGTCAGTGGCCTCAGCAGGTCAGCTCTGTATTCTCTCTGCCTTTACTTACCTCAACTCTAAAGACAACGCCATAAAACCTCTGCCTTCGACTGACCAGGGGCATAGATGGGATTCTACAGAGACCAGGAAGGTGGAGGAAGCCTGTGCTCTCCAAACTAGGGGACCTCCTGTTGGCTCTGCTCTTGAGTTGATATGTCTCCATCTTTGGGCAAGGAGCTGTGCCCTGGCCTCATCAGGAGGTAGGCCATACCTGGTGTGCATGCTTCAAAAGAAATTCTCAAAAGAGCCTCTGTTTATCCTAGATGTTTTAAAACCGTTAAGTCCCGAGCTCCCACCTGTGTGCCAGCTGCTTCAGGGAACTGTGAAGGGTGCTTTGGTGAAACTCATGGTCTTGGGCTCAACTATCAGTGGCTCTGACTTTGTATGTATGACCTGTACCTGAGATATGCAGGCAATAAGCTTCCCAGTTGGTTCCAAAGCTCAACTGAGTTTGGGAAGTCACTGGTGCTAAAGATCTTCGCAGGGCCTGTACTCCTGACGCTGTAAGATTCTGGGATTCTCAGAGAATCTATTTGAGCTTCCATGTGGGTGCTGGTTCTTTAAATGCGCTCTCACCAAGTGTAGGAGTGGCAGGAGATCCGTTGTCAGGCCCTGTATTTTCATGGCAGCCTGTGAAGACTGAAGTTCGAGGTCAAGTCCAGCAGCTGCTCAGGACCTCGCCTGTGCTTTAGAGCCACTGGCCTTGGTGCTTGTGTGAAGACCAAAGAATGGCAGCAAGCTGGGGTCCCTGGGACCTGTGTGCTCCATGGGAGACTACAGATAGCAAGCCATGCTGGGAGGGTCAGGTGCTGCCAGGTACTTGTTTATTTGACTGCTTGTTCATGTAGGTGTCAACTGTTAGATGCCTACAACGTGGCACTCTTTTAGAAATGTATTGGTGTGCGTGTGTGCATGTGTGTGTGTGTGCAGCTCAGAGAATAACAATTCTCTCCTTCTACCCTGTGGGCCCTGGAAGTCAGCCTCGGCAGCAAGCACCTTTACTTGTCGAACCGTCTCATCATGCCTCCTGGACACTCTACCGGACAGTGTGGGGACACAATGGTCTCTGAGCTCATAGAACTGCCAGGCTGTGAGGGTGAGGAGAAGCGAATGATAGACTAGGCAGCAGGTGGGGGATGGTGCTGCAATGGCAGGAAGTAGGGAAGAGGGAGAGGGAGGAAAGAGAGAGGACGGGAAGGGAACACAGAGCAGTGAGACAGAGAGGCTGCGTCGATGGGAGCTCAGGGTTAGCCTCTCTAAAGCTGTGACTTGCTGAGCAACCTAGAAGAACGCAGCAAAGTGAAGGCATGAATGGGGGAAAGAAGGAGTGAATGACTGAACCAGCAACCTGACTTCCTCATCATACTCAGTTCCACCTGAGTCCACTCATTGTGATTGCTTTCCACCCCACCATGGCTGGAACCAAAGATGAGAAGGAATGGGAAAGGTTGGAGGTGAGACCCTGTTTTCCATGAACACTAGGAAGGGATTCAGAAGACCTTAATCCCTGAGTATACTCTTCCCAGTAGGCACTAGTGCACTCTCAACCAGCTCTGTGGCTTTCAGACTGCAGAACAGAGGATGGAGTCAAATGCCAGCTTTCTGGCCAATGTGATCTGGGCTTTAGGTCAATCACTTTGTTTCTCTAGGCCTCATCCAGTCAGATCTGGCCTTCTAGATCCAGGAAATGGCTGCCCAGGTAGAACAAGAAGATGGTCTGGAACAATGGAAATGTGGGTCCTTCAGAAGGCCATGTCTCCAAATCTCCAAGGTGGCCTCACCGATGCTAGACAAGATGGGCTCCTTATGTACCATGAATAGGTTCCCAGGTCCAACCCTCAGACATGGCGGCTATGGGGTGTGGGTGGGCACAGGAGCGTTAATGATTGGCCCATGTTACTGGCCACCCATCACTGCCCTCAGAGAATGCTCTGAGCCCCAGCCAGAAAGGTTTGGGTGGGAAATAGAGGTTAACAGTTGCTCAGCTTGGGGGTATCTTGTTGTCCTGCTAAGTTCCTGAGAAGGAACAGCGGGGATTAAACATTAATGCAGGCTCTCCAGCAGAGGGACAGGGGCTGGAGCACGAGGAGGAGTGGGTGAAGGCAGGCACAGCTTGGATGTGACTCCTGACTCTCAGCTCTTCAAATGACAGATGCACCCAGGGTCCAGACCCAGGGGGAGGCTGAGGAGTAGCCAAGCCAGTGTTGACCTAGAGTGCTCCTGGCTTTCTTGTAGGTGTTTAAAGAGGCTGGGAAGACGTGGCTTCTGCAAAGAGGAGAAACTGTGGAGCCGCAAGACTTCTCTGAAGCTTTGAGAGACTGTATGCAGCCAGGTGTGGTGGTGCACACCTTTAATCCCAGCGCTCGGGAGGCAGAGGCAGGCAGATCTCTGTGAGTTTAAGGACAGCCTGGTCTACAGAGTGAATTTCAGGATGGCCAGGGGCTACATAGTGAGATTCCTGTCTCAAAAACAACAAGCAATCTCCCCAAATCACCAGAAATGAGACAATGCAACATTAGGCTCATGGGCAAAGAGCTGGTGTTTGCAATGTTGGGAAGGGGATCCCTCCCTCTGGCCCAGGCAGGGAAGTTGTCTGTGGAGGCTAAGGGGTATGTGTGTAGCTGGAGCTATCGAATGAGGCCTCTCAGAAACTTACCCATCCAAAGACTCAAACTGCACCTCTAACCCTGCCCTTCCCCTCCCTGGACCCAATTTAGTAGTCTAGAGAAACTGCCTTGGAATAGGAAAATGCTGACTTAAGCCATCTTGGAGAAAAACAAGAGACAACACTGGGAGGGCAGCAGAGGTCCAGCTGGAATGCTGTTGCACCATCCTGGACTCTCCAAACAAGAACGGCCTCAGTTCTAAACAACGCCCCAAAGAGATAACTCCCACTTGGCAGACAAGGACCCTGGGCCTTGAAGAGAAGTAATTTGCCCCAATTTATCCAGGGAGGTGGTCTGAAAACCAGATCTTAAGCCACAACTCCTGATTCCCCCAGGCCTCAGGTCCCTGTCAACACCTGCAGGAGAGCTGAATGATGCAGTGGTTATGAGTCTGGACTTTGGAGCTTCCCTGGCTGGTTCTAATCCCTGTTATGTTAGTTACTGGCTGTGTGACCTTGAGTAATTTACTTAACCTCTCTGTGCCCCGGTTTCCTCAACTGGAAGATGGAAAACATCTTTACTTCATAGTCCTTAGGGGGATCGAGCTAATATTTGTAGGGTGACTTGAGCAGTGTGGGCGCACAGGAGCATTTCATTGAATAAAATCAAACCAGCCCAAGGCTATGTCTTTGGTAGTCAGCTGGACCGTGACAGCCCAGGGCCCACAAGTGTTCCCAGCACATGCGCCCTTACCTGGTCATCCAGAAGAAGCTCACAGAAGGCGGGGATGTACTTGGCCCACTCCACCAGAACCAGCAGCTGTTCCTTCATGGACTCACACACGTCCGTTATGTTGGCGATTTTCTTTGCCCGAATGTCACCATTGATCCCGGAGATGGGAGAGGTGATCTGTGGGAGACAAGCGAATGCTGGGGGTGGCGGGTTTCCCCTGCACTTCCTGTCCCTTGCACAGAGACCATACCCTAGGAGGTCTCCCCGTCTGGTGGCAGCTGAACTGTGTGTACTGTCAGGTCAGTAGGAAGTTCTGAGCAAAGGGACTCACAGACGGAGTACTCCCTTTGGACCGTCACCCGCTGCCTGCCCTGTCCCATCTCTTCTAGCTCCTGAATGTCAGAAATCCCTTGGCTGTAAAAGAGGAACAGGCCATCACCCTCATCTCGTACATGAAGTCACCATGGCCCCGAGAGGCACTGTAACTTGCCTGAGGTCACACAGCCAGTGGTTGGCTGGGCCCATTTGCCACCTTGTTGTAATGGTTGCTTCTGTTTGGTAGGTCTGCCCTTGAGCCCTCAAAGTCCCAGCCCTTGTGTGGCCTGGGAACACAGGTGTTGGGATGAACTAAACAGTGCCCCAGGATGCCAGACCTAGGTTTGAGTTCTATCTGCCACAAAACCAGTGTGTGGCAATGGGTTCGGTTTTCCTTCTGTGGTACTTGTGGCCCCTTCCATGTGGGCCTCCATGGTTTGGCTGGAGGATGCAGAAGTAGAAGAAGTGAGATTCCACTAGAAAGGAGCCCGGGTAGTAAAGAGGATCCCCTGGTACCTGCTGGGACAGGACCTCTGCCTGCAGGAGCGCATTAATGGAGGGCAGGCTGCTGTCCTCGTAGCTTGACCTCCTCGTGCTGATCCGATCCCGCTCATTTTGCACAGCTATGAGGAGGCAGAGAAAGGTAAGGAGGAGCACTGAGGGGAGGGAGGATGTCCCTTGACTGTTAAGGAGCTGGGAGATGTGGGAGGAGGGGGTTCAACCTGGACTGGAGCCATCAGAGTGCTGCAGGTGGACACTTACCACTCATGAGTGAGTGCACGCCTGTGTGGGTGTGGGGGTGTGCCTGAGCATACATGTGTGTGTGGAGGTCTGAGGACAAGTTGTAGGAGTTGGTTCTTTCCTTCTACCATGTGTGTCCCAGGAATGATTGGTGATGCCCCAGAGTCACTTTGCCTGACACAAGTGGGATTTTCTAACTCAGTTTGCAAAGCTTGCCAGACACCAAAACTTCCTTCTGCCCCATATACAATGAGAAGGCTGAAGGAATGACTGGCCATCGTTAGGAGCAGATTAGTGACAACTCAGTGGACAGACCATGTTTGAGTAGTTCAGAGAGAATCTGCCACCATCCCAGCTCACGGTCCCCACTTGCAAGCCAGTTTATCCCTTCTCTTCCAAATGAGCAGACCTCTTCCTGGTGACACAGAAATCTCAGGATAACCCTGAGATTCCCGAGCTCGGGGCAGAAGTTCCAGAGCCCAGCTGCCCCGGTGGACTGTCTGCTGGGAGGAATTCTGCTCTCTAAGCTGGGAGAATGAGGGAAAGCACTCTCCTTCCTGCTCACACTAGGACCTTTCCAGAATTCAGGAACCTACGGCCTTGTCTCACAGACCTCCAGCACACCATCTGCCCCTAGCCAAAGTCATTATGGTCCTAAGGTATCAGATGTCCTTTCACTGTCACACCAGTCACAGAAGAAAGAGGGAAGGTGAGGCTGTAAGAGACCTTTTCTGCGATGGTGGGAATGCCTTCCCTGGGGCTTCTGTTTCACCATCTGTCCAAAGCTTCTTCTCACCATCCCGCTCCTTGCCTTCTATCTTAGGAGCTGGCAAGCAGTGTCTTCCCACCACACAGCGACATGCCCTCACTGATTCATGAAGAACCGCTGTGATGCTCATCACGCAGCAGACCCTGCTCTGCCCCTGATGGCCCCATCACTTTCCCCTGGGCTCGACCAGGCCCTTGTAGAGGTCTCGAGACCTGAGGCTCCCGGCTTTACCCTTTGGGGCTGACCCGCTCTCAGGGATCCCTCTGAACACACCCAGGTCATGAATCATATTCTGCTCAGAGTGGGCGTCTCACCATCTCATCAGAGCTGCTCCCCCCATCTCCCTGCTACTTTCCTCTCAGTTGTCCCCCCACCCGCCTCACCCTATATCTGGATGCACACAGGCCACCCATGTGCTCAGGGCAATCTCAGCCTTTCCTGATGCTGGGAATCCCCTTTCCCTCCACCTTCAGGGGTTGGAGAAATGGCTCAGTGGTTAAGGGCATGTGCTGCTCTTGTGGAGGACCTGAATTTGGCTGACTGCTCTGCAGACACTTGCACTCAATGGGTGTGCACTTACACACACAGTTAAAAATAAAGCAAATACAGTTTTGCACCCCAGGCCCTGCCCTTTTTTTCCTGTTTTAAATTTCCCCGAGGTATCAGTCAGTTGTAGCACTATCTGCTGAATTCTTTATTATCTAGCTCCTAAGTTCCATAAAGCCAGACCTTCCTCCCTCTTGTTCGCTGTCACCCTGACCCCTCGAGTACACCCCGACACACAGTGGGTATACAGTACATATTTGTGGAGTGACAGATGTCACTGGATGAGACAGCACACGACTTTAAGGAACACTCACATTCTACCCTCTTGATTTCAAAACGTGGAAATAGAGAGCTGGGCATGGCACTTCGCGCCTATAATTCCAGCATTTGGGAGGCTGAGGATTATAGACGCTGGGGCCTGGAAGGATGGCTTAGTTGATCAGAGAGTTTGGTTCCCAGCACCCACATCATGCGGCTCACAACCACCTGTAACTCCAGCTCCAGGAGAATCTAATGCCCTCTTCTGCCTTCTGAGTGTGCCTGCATACGCCAATAATTAATAATGATGAAGATGACAGTAATAATAATAATAAATCTAGAAAAGAGAAAAGTGAGGTCTTGTCTCAAAAACCCAGAAACAGTCAGGGTAGGACAGAGACCCTGAGGTGTAGAAGTCCCCCCACTGATTGTACCAGCCTGCCACACCCCTCCCTGGCAGCTCAACTGCCCTGTCGCCTGCCCCCACTGGGCGCTGCGGGAAGGCGGGCGGAATGAAAGACCACTGTCAGCATCTGTGGCTAGAGCTCCTCAAGGTTAGCCGGGCCTTATCAGCAGCCGGGAGCTCAGTCATGGAATGATGTTTTCCTAATGTTTGCACAGTATTAGCAGGGTCGGGGACCTAATGTAACTTCCATTGAATATTAACCGGCAGGACAGAGGTGGAGAGGACATGAGCCTGTCTTCCTAGAGTACCCTAGGTGGGCCCTGGGGGCTGAGCTGGGCTTGTGAGGACGGTCCTATGGGGTGGGCTACGCTCCTCCTGTACTTCTTGGTCTTAGTCTCTGGCCTGGTTTTCTGCTGCTGGGAACTGGTCCTGGGAGCCAAGGCCATGCAGGTGTCCCTCTTCCCTGGCTTTAGTCACAAGACAGAATTTTCCACCAGCTGTTTGTTCACTAACCCCCGAGGCTCCCCACCCCCCAGTCTGTCTCCTTCAGGAAAGACCCTTGTGGCCTCTGTAGCACATCCTCTGTCCAGGACTCACGGTCCTGTGAGCTCTTCTCTGCTCTGCCAGGAGCTTTCAGTCACCAAGAACAGAATGTTCCACCCAGAAAGGGTCTTTCCAAATTTCAACCCAGAGAGCTTGAAGGCTTGGTTCTGACAGCTTCAGGTACTAAACCTTACTCCACCCCAACATATCGTATCACTTCTCTTGCCTCAGTTTCCCCACCTGGGAATCAGGTAGATCTTTCTTTACCTGCCCCAGCCGCTTTGTAAACCTTGTTTTCAACCCATTTTCTGGTCCTCGAGAACTTTAACATGACAGGAAAATAAATGAAGACATGTCCCAGTCACCTGGTCAGTGGCTTTGGGATCTTTCTATCAAGCTGAGGAATTCTCTGGATTGTAAAACAGATAGATCTAGCAATAGTCTTGCTGGTGCTTGCCATGGCATCTCAGAATGCTTTGCTCTCCTGGTCTACTTGTACCTCGTAATCTCTCAATAACGCAGGCGTGCATATACACACACAGACACACAGATACAGACACACGTACACACACATACACACACCCGTGGCCAGCATTCTCTGTCAGTGACTCGGTGGCTCGCCTGTCCCCCTGGCAGAAGGCTTACCTCCCAGCCTAAGAAGTAAGCAGTTCATTTCGATGGCTGAGCTAAGGCTGCCTGGGGTGGGGCTCCTCTACTCTCAGGAGCTGGGAGCTAGGGTCGCTTGGCTCTGTGAGTCATTGGGAAAAGCAGAGGCCATTGGGGCTGGAAGCTCAATTTCCCCCTAGAAATTCCATTTAGCAAAAGACGATGACACACTACCAAGCACAGACTTCCCAGCTAGCCACCTGCCTCACTGGCTGCCTGCTTTTCTCCCACCTGCTGATAATTCTATAGGAGGGACTCATTCTAAAACACAATGCTTATGGGTAGTCATTGTGCTTATTATCATACGGAACTAGATAACAGAATCACCAGCTATTAGAACTCCTTGCAAGAGGAAGTGCTTAGGCTGGAGTGCTTCATCTGGCCTCCAGTATTCACACACGAACCACAGTCCCCTTCCAAAAAGCGCTCCTCAGTGAGAAGATGAGGTTAGCCATGGACCTGCATGACTATGGGAAGCAGTGGGGGTGGGGGGTGGGGGAACAGGCCCATGTAGGAGGACCTTTGGGCTCTAATTTTCCAGCAAAACTCCAGACCTTGCACTAAGATCTTGCACTAAGATCCTACCTGTAAGAACCTTTGTGAGGGTCAGGCAGAAAGAATAATCTGAGGATCGGAGGGCAGAGACCAGGCAGGAGGCTGTCACCCTTATTTCCTTCCATCTCTCTCAGTTCCAGTCTTCCTTCCTTCCTTCCTTCCTTCCTTCCTTCCTTCCTTCCTTCCTTCCTTCCT